GACGCACATGTCCATCTGCACCCTTCACGTGTCCCTTTCCTGAAGTGCAGACGCACATGTCCATCTGCACCCTTCACATGTCCCTTTCCTGAAGTCCAGACGCACATGTCCATCTGCACCCTTCACGTGTCCCTTCTCGTGTCCCTGACGATCATTGAGCCCCAGGACAGCTATTTCTGAACTGCTGATCCCCTCCTAGGATTTGGCCGAGCATTCCCCAAAGGTCCACATGTAAAGGTGGTCTCCAGAGTGGGGCTATTGAGGGGGCAGGTCTTGGGAGGTGGAGCTTATGAGAAGTCCCAAGGTCACAGGAGAACGTCCTCAAAAGAGACTGTGGGACTCCACTTCTCTCCTCTTTCTGCTCCAGTTCAAGAGGAGCTTGGGGTGATGTGCACTCCTGCTGTGATATTCTACCCTCACCAGAGGCCCACTTCAAACAGCCACACAGTCTTGGATGTGAGCCTCCAAACTGCCAGCTAATAAACCTTTTCTTTTTATAAGTTGATCACCTGGGTATTTTGTTGTAGTAGTAAAAAGTAGGCTGACATATCACCTCACACCACCCGACTCTCCCAGAGGTGCTCATCCCACAAGTTGACCACCTCTTATCGCTTCCACCCCCATGGCTCATTCTAGCTGCTTGGTCTCTTCCTGGATGGCCACAGTGGCTGCTTCTCCACACAGAGCTGTAATGATCTTGTTGGAACATAACCTGGTAGTGTTTTCCTCCCCAATAAAGTAACACCCCAACCCACAAGGGTTTCCACCAGATTCAGAGGAGAAGTCATTCCTTCTGCTGGGATTTGCAAGGGCCATAAAAGACTCTGACCAGCATCTAAATGCTTCCCTTACCCCCCATCTCCTCCTTAGGTGACTCCCACCTGCTTCCCCTCTCCTCCCCTCTCTCTTCAGTGGGCTCCTTTCCACCTGGACATTTTCATTGTAATATTCTCCTGTGGGCTCACCTCTCTGTCTCCTCTCATCATTTGCATCTCAGCTCAAATATCATCCTCCAGGAGAGGCCCTCCCCCAGCCACTGTCCAGTGCACTACTCGACATCCCAGCAGCCGGGCATCCCAATTCATGGAGGAATTCTCTGACCACTAGGACCACATTACACCTGGACTAACATAGCAGGTGCTGTGCTGCCTCCTAGGACGCTGATCCATGGGACAGCCCTGGGATGCAGGGTTGGGGCTAATGGAGGTGACAAGAAGTGGGACTGGGGTGGCAGCTATTCCAGCCTCAGCACTGGGGACGCCTGCCAGGGTATCCTCAGTGCACTGCGTCTACAGCAGCACCTGGCTGCACCTTGCCTCTCCTTGTTCCTGACCCTGTCTTCCGGATGATTCTGTAAGCTCCTTGACCTTCTTCCTAAATTCCTTCTCTGTGTAAGTTAGTCAGAGTTCCGATCAGTGTGTTTCTTATCAAGAACTCGGGTTCACACTTACCCCTTTCTGGGTGTCTTGTTTGTGCACTTGTTTATACGCTCACTGTCCTCCTGATCCAACAGGTCAACTTCTTGGGGACAGAAAATGTCTTTGTCACTATGTGATTCCAGTCAACAGTAGTACCCCAATAAACAGCAACTGACCCATTGGTTCAAATGAATCTGAGGTCCCCACAAACAGAAATGTCCTGTATTTCATGTGCTTCCTGACAGCCCCAAAGATAATCTTGCAGATTTTTTTTTTAAAGACAACAATTTGTACCTAAATTCTGCAGAAAGATAAAAAACTTTTGAAAGGATTTTTAGGTGGTAAAGAAACTGACGCCTGGCCCAAAAGCTCTATGTCTCTGATTCATCAGTTTGAATTCAGGCCAGAAGTATCTAAAGTGAACTCTAAATCTGGTAGCTGGAAGTTATCTAACTTCTCACAAGCACAAGCCACTGACAGTCAAGTCCTTGCATTACGCCCTGCAAGCCTTCTGGGTCGAAGCCCTGCTGCTAGGTCCATTTTTGGAGCAAATATCTACCAAGTTCCACTGTGATAATGTTCCCATGGAGTCTTATTCCCAAGTGCCATCTCACATCCAGCGTCACCTGCTTCCTTCCCAGTGAGGAAGATGAGGACGAGAACCAAGCAGTGTCTCCTGGCTGTCCAGCCAGCACAGGGCACTGTTTTAGTCAGCTTTTTCATTGCTGTGACCCAAAGACCTACAAGGACAATGTAAAGGAGGAAAAGTTTATTTTCACAGGTCTCAGTCCACACCCGGCTGACTCCAGAGCTCTGGGTCCAAGGTGAGGCAGGACATCACAGGGGAAGGGCTGGCCGAGGAAGGCAGCTCAGAACATGGCAACCAGGAAGCAGAGAGAGCTCTGCTAATGAGGCCAAACATAGATCACAAAAGCACACCCCAGGGACCTACCCCCTCCACCACATCCTCCCGCCCTGCGGTTACCACCCAGTTACTCCACAGCAGTAGATACCCCTGATGAGGTCACGACTCTCGTAATCCATCATCCCAACTCCGAGCTGTCTTGCGTTGAGCTTTGGGCAACTCCTCGTATCTCACCGTAACAGGCGCCCAGCACATTAAGACAGCAGCCCCTCCCCAGCTCTTCCAGCCTGTTCACGTCAGTGCTGACCTGAGACCAGCAGGTTGGGACTGCACCCTTTCCTAAGGAAGCTCCAATGAGGTGAAACAGAACCCACTGCCTGAACAGACTGAGAAATCAGAATGATAGACATGAACTGTCCAAGGCTGTCCCATCTAGAACATCGCCCAGGTCTTTCACCACAACTGCAAAGAGCACGTCCGCCTAGCACAGGGCCAGACACGTGGCCAGCACTTATTAAGAGAGCCAAGGGGAGGCAGCGAAAGCAGCAGAGCTCGCCCCTTCTCCCTACTGGGTTCTCGAGGTTCTCTCCTCCTGGTTCCTCTGAGGGAACACAGCGAATGCTATAAGCAGCTTCTCCTGGAAGTGCATATCTGAAAACACCTGTGAACACTTCACACAACCTGGGTGTCGTCATCAAACGTCTGGAGCAAATCCCTGGAGGCCCAAGATCCTTAGGCCAATTTAAGACCCACACTTAACTCACCTTGGAAGAACCCCAAAGAGGAGGGCGGTGGGTGTGAAGCCGAGTTGCTGTATCCTGCTCACCTACGGGTCTGCGTCTGGAGAGACAGAAAACCCCACGTGAGTTACACAGGCAGGCAGCATCCAGGGACCACCGAAGTCTGGGGTCCAAGGCTCGGGGCGCTGCTGGGGGAGGGAGTCCCACCTGCACATGTGGCCTTGCACTGCGGCTGGCACACCTCAGAAAGCGGCCCAGGTCTGTCTCCTGGGAGGACATGACTGGCTGGATAAGGCACAGAAGGTGTCCCCACCTGCAGGGGCCTGGAGCAGAGCCAGACTCCCCCGGCCAGTCCCCCTTGTCTCAGGAGTGGCATCCCCAGCACAATCTAGTCATTTTTGAGAACCGCAAATGAGAAAGGGGAAGAGCCAAGTCACTCTGAGACCACTCAGAGAACTGTCCCACAGTAGGGAAGAGAAGCACAGTCTCCAGTCTGGGCATGGAGCAGTGGCCCAGCGTCAGAGGACACTGAATCCTCTCCTTGGTCTTCCCATTACATCCACTGTGACCTGAGACAGACCCGCTCGCCTATCTGCATGTTAGCTTTCTTAAAAAATTGGAGTTGGAATGGGTGATTCTAGATTGCTTCCAGTTCCAGATCTAGTGAGGCTCTAGTCCTCGCTGAAACTTTCCCCTGTGAAATCATCATCGAGCTGACAAAGTTCTCTAGGAACAAAAAAAAAGTCGCTAACGTCTCTTACCCTTTTAGGAAAAAAAATAACATTTCCAAAAATAAGGTGCTCCCTTAAATAGTTATCTGCCTGTCTCAGCGCGTAGCTGGAATTGTCACTTGAGAATAAATGTGAAAGAGTCAATCAAGAAGCTGCATAAATGTCCTCAGCTCTTCCTCCCACCACCTCTGCAGAGCACTCATTATGAGGCGCACGGAGGCCCTGCCGTCTCTTTTTTCGTCTCTCTTCTTTCGTGGGACAATTATTGCAAAACCACCAATCGTGCCAGTTTGAATTAAGGGGTATCAGCAACTTTGCAACAAATTCTGGCCTAAAACTTTCCTTAGAAATCATTTAAGCTGAAACAGGAAGTGCAGCAGCTCATGGTGGGGGGCGGCTCAGCCACATTCTGTAAAGGTCTGATGACGTTTCTAGAAGCCACCAAAGTGGATTGACATGGGAATGGCTCCCTGTCCCAGGGGCGGTTTTGCCAACGTCCTGCAAAAGGAAGGCTACATTCATGGAGATTTCCTTGCCACCAAAATGACCGCAGTGACGCTACATGGCAGTGAGGACATTCCTGCTCCTCCAGTGGAGCTCTGCTTTTTAAAAACTCTTTCCATGTAGAAGCTTTTGGATAAACTGAGAGCTGAGACCACTGTCCTAACTTGAACAGAGATTCCCTGCAGAATCCCCTTCCGCCCTGCCCTTTACCTTCACCTGTAGATGTTGAGACCAGGAGTCTCATGATTTCGTCTCAGGCTTCAAATCCGAGTGGGTGGCATTCCCTCTGTACCCCCTCTCCTCACCACAGAGCCTGTTGGTAATGGGCACCCTCTTGCCCTCCCTACCTTGTTTCCTAGAAAGGAGTCCCGTAGGCTACTTGTTCACAAAACATCATCCATTTCACAAAAGTCATAGAGAAATAGTGGCAGAGCACCGGCCTGGCATGAGATTCAACCCCCAGCACTAGAAAATGAACAACAACAAAAAAAACAACCTTAATATTTGCTACAAGTGTAAATCTCATGGTCAGTGTTCCAGCCGTAATAAAATTAAAAATAAAATAGAAATAGATGAAGGCAAGCATATTTTTCTAAGCTGAGAAGAGGAGTTGTCACGAGGCGCAGTCATAGCTGGGCAGTTAGAGGCACACCCTCTCCCACCCGTCCTTCTCAGGCCTGTCTTTCCAGAGGAGACCATTGTCACACTCAGGACCAGGGTCAGATGCTCCTTGGTCAGGACAAAGCAGGCAGCACCAGCCTTCCCTGAAGGACCCTCCCTCTCACCTGGTTCTCAGGGACCGGTGCTGTGGGTCACTCTGGTCCAGCACGTGGGCTCAGCACCATGATGGGAGCTGAGACCAAGAGGCCTCCTGGACAGGAGGCCACTGCTTCATTTTAGTGGAAGGAGCCAATGATGAAGATGAGGAATGAGCTGCATCAGCTAAGGAACCGTGAAAAGAAACCAAGGGGTCGATACAATGTCTCGGGAGGGGAAGGGACACCCATCAGGCCTGGGTGCTCAGACCCCAACACTGCAGACAAGCTGAGCCAGCACGGGAGCTTTGGACAGAGTCTCACACAGATGTCCCTCCGTCCCCACCTGCACTCACGGAAACATAGCCTTGTAAAAAGGTGAGGCTGAGAAAGTGTGGCCTCGGACAAGGTCCCTACCCTCTTGGCAAACCAGTTGAGCAGAGAGTTCCAGTTTATGCGGCTGGTATAGGATCATGTCACTGCTGCTCCTCTGTACACACAAGGTCAGTCCCCAAAAGCTTATTTGCATAATCATTGTCAGTCTGTCCTAAGTCTGGACTGGTCATCACCCCCCCTCTCCCGGCAGCCTGCCTCATGATGTTGCCTCAGAGAGGACTTGACAGCTAGTTCACAGGAAGATGTTAACTGCTGGTGATAGCTAAGCAATTTGTCACTTAATGCAGGTGTCCTAAGGCATACACCCACAGGCTTCTTGCACACAGTAGGTCAGGATGGCAGGGGCTGCCACTTCCTAGAGCTCCTCAAAACACCTCACAAAATCATGTGACTCCTGCCAGCAGTACAGAGGCTCCCTCCATGAATCTTTATCCCTGCTTACATAAAACTCTGCTTATATTTACTTCCTCTTAACGGGAATTTAACCAAAACTGCCAACAGATTGGACTTATTCTTAAATGTGCAAGTCAGTCAGTCAGCAGGATTTACCGACCACCCATTCTCTGATGCAAACTCTACCAGGCACAGTTTTGGACAAGCGAATGGAACCCACCCAAGTCTCATCAAGACACACAGGGAGACTCCACCAGGTACCCAGGTTGTGTGAATGAGACACGTGTATGTGCAACATAAAACATCCAAATACCTTATTTATCTTTCTTCGAAGAGCAATTAAAAGGAAAGAAAAAGAATTAGAAAGCAGAGGCCTTGAGTCTAGAGGTGATTTATTCAGACTTCCTACTCTCCAAGGATAATAAAAGGTAGTAAATTCTGAACTAAGCCGAGTCAGCGGCAGGGAGACTTTCACAATGTATTCTGTTCTAGTTCACAACAATCAAATCATGCAAAGGTTCATTTTAAAACACTTTGATTCTCAGGAGTGCATGTTTAAAGCATTAATTTGCTCCTTCACTTAAAACAAAGAATTTAATTCCTTCATTTTTTTGGCAATAGATCTTAGATTTTTCTTCTTCTCCACAACATAGAGTTTCTTGCCTGAAACACAAACCACTGTGTTCATAAAGCAAATACATTTATCCTTTAACTATGTCAGATGAGAATATACATGGCTTTGCAGACTAGGAACTTTGCACACAAGGGCTGTGTGTCCAAGAGTCACCTGTGTACACAAAGTGGAGGACTGATCATTTAATCAAGAGTGAACTAGAGAAGCCTGGTACGCCCTGCCTCCCCTCACTCCTCCCTTAATTCCACTATCTCTTCTGATTTCTCAGCATGCCTGCTGCGTTGACACCACCCTCATGCATCAATGGAGGAGGCTACGCGAGGGACCAGTAGGGCTGTTGTTCCAAGTTCTGTCCTGGGAGGGTCCAGGCACTGGGATGGCCCATGAGAAGTCCCTTTCCCAGCCCCACCTGGAAGATTCTCTTCTCTTCCTGATGCCACCAACAGGAGAGCTCTTTGTAGGTATCCAGTTCCAAATGCAGGCTCTCCATACATATTAATGCAATTGAACCTGTTTCCATTTGATAAATATGAGAATAAAATGAATTCAGCAAAGGTCTTTGTGCTATAAATTAAAATAGCCTCCAAATGCGTAGTCGATTCCGTGTGTGTGCACATTAGACACGTGGCATACTTGTACACGATGCTGTCTACACAAGTGAGCTCTCCACTCTGACACACCCAAGCCATGAGCAAGTTACTGACCACCTCCTCCCAGTTCCCAAGACCCACCACCACCTCCTTCAAAACTGTGAATCAGAGGCTGGGGTTGTGTGGCTCAGTGGTAGAGCGCTCACCTAGCATGTGCGAGGTCCTGGGTTCAATCCTCAGCACCACATAAAAATAAACAAATAAAATAAAGGTATTGCATCCAATTATAACTAAAAAATAACAAATATATAAAAAAAAAAACTATGAATCAGTCGTGGCCCCCATTTCAAGCTACTTACTTTAGGCCTGAATATGGCAATTTGAACCTCAAGATTCTGTCTCTTTACAAATGATCAGTTGTTTTTACTTGCTGGAATGTTGCTAAAAGAGGGAATATACAAGTGGACGGTGGACAGATCCAGTGGCAACAGGCCTCTGGCCCACAGTCTCAGCAACACAGAGAGGAGACTGGATTTCCCACTGCGAAGTCAGCAAAAGAGCAAAAGCTCGCAGCTCCTCCCGTGCCTAGGTGGGTTCCTACCTTCCTTCTAGTGTTTTCTCGCTTGAGGAATGAAGCCTAAGTGAGTGGGTACAGTAGACCCTTTCCCCTCCAGTTGTTCACACGGAGGGAAGCGGTCGGCTCTCCCCTGCTATCCCAAGAAAGGCTTCATCCATCAGAACCTTGCTTCCCCCACCTTTTCTGTCCTGAGCACTCCCTGTGCTCCTCTTCAGCACTTAACCTCAACGGCAGACAGACAGCAAGCTGAGAGTCTGGCTTACTGACCAAGGAAAAGGTACTTAAAATGTATTCCCCTTGCACTAAATCTAAGAGCCTAAGGATGGGAGGAGACTCTTAGCACCAGTGCCCACGTGTGTTCATGCTCAGGTCCCTGTGAACACATGCCAGTGCACTCCTATGCGTAAACACCTGCAAACAGCTGTTACCTTCCAATGCATGGAAGAGCTGAGCAAATTGGACTGTCCTACCCCAGCCATGCTGTCACTGAGATCACCCACTGTCACCTGGATCATTCTCTTTTTTCCTGAAGGAAGGGTCACCACCATGGAACCCAGCTCCATGCTAGATACCTGTTGCTTTACAGGATACCAGACCTTTTTGTAGAGAATTGCCTTTTAAAACTCTTTAAAGATGATTCTGTGGCTTAGAAATTCCATCCAGACTGCTGCTGGCTGCAGGGAATATTTACTGGGTCAATCGGAGCTTGCACTCAGGAAGCCCCTCTTCCACAGCACAAGCAGCAGTACAGCCTGCAGGATGGGAAAAGAGGGGCGGAGGCCAGCCCCGGACGCAGAGCTCTCTCCACCCCTCTGGCTAAGCAGTTGCGATATCATCCTTAGTGAAGGGGACATACACACTTAGGGAAATTTTTATGGTATTTTCTCACATGCTTAAAATAATATATAACAAAACAAGCATATTCCTTATTTTAGAAGTGATTCTAATCATTCTCCACCCCTCTTGTGCTCTTTTTTCACAGCCACAGTGCAACGAAGCCTACCTGCAGGTGCCTGACCGAGGAGGCATCGGCCTGGTGGTGACGGTAGCCTCCCCAGCCCCACAGAAGAACAGCAGGCAGATGGTGACAAGCACTCAGCAGGTCATCCTCCCGGGGCGCACTGCCCATTGCAGCTGCAAAATGTGGCCCTGAAGGCCAGCCCTATACTGGAGAATCTGGCAGGAAGTTTATGGACCATGTGATTTCCCTCATGTTGACTTAAATATTCTTATGTCCAAAAGCATATAATAAAGACAGCATGTCAGATGGTAAATGACACAGTACAGGGGCTTCTCCATGGCGTGTTGAGCAACTATCTATCTGAAATGGCTTAAGTGTAATCATTCTTAAGGCAGGAAGGTGTATCAGATATTAACATCAGTCCCCACTGGATACAGATGAACAATTTTAAACAATATCCCACTTTTTAAATGCCCTACAAAAATGATTCTGCATGCTTTCTTTATAAGCTTCTGTTGCATTTAACAACCCTTCCTGTCAGACATTCTACTTTGAATCTGCAAATGATTCCTATGTTTTCAAAGGTCATGGATCCTGTCAGGAATCTTTTGAAAGTCGTGGACATCTCTTAATGTGCATATACATTCTGATTAACAAACACAAGTAGATGTGTACAGCCTGATTGTAAAAATAATGACTGCTGTGGGTTCAGTTGTGTACCTCCGAACTCTCATGTTGAAGTTCTAACTCCCAGTACCTCAGAATGTGACCTTTCTTGGAAATGGGATCTTTGCAGAGATAATCCAGTGTGAGTGGGGTTATTATGGTGGCTCCGATCCAATGTGCCCAGTGTCCTTCCTAAGAAGGGATATTCATAAAAGAAAAATGACCTGAGAAGACTGTTATCCACAGGCCAAAGAGACAGGCCTGAAGCAGATTCCACCCACAGCTCTCAGAAGGAACCCACCCAGCAGACTCTGGCCTGCAGAGCCCTGAAGCAGTGAACGCGGTCATCAAGACACCTAGTTAGGCTACTTTACTGGGGCCGTCCTTGAAGACCAAAGCAGTAAGTTGGAGATTCTTGTGCTTGGTAGGTGCACCACTCTGTTGGGTCATTTCCAAAGCTCCGCAGTGTTGGAAGATGTCATGTCAGCACAGCAGTCAGTGCCTCCCTGTGTACCGGGCAGGTAAACTGCTCTCCTGGGACTGGAATTGCTGGATTCAGGGACAAGGGCCTTTTAGAGGCAAATTGTTTGGAAAGTGGTTATACCCATTGTATGCCCCCTG